TAGGGGTTAGTACCTCCAGTAGGGGTCACAGGGCACTCTATGGGGGGCAGTCACATTGGTGGCATATAGGGCCTTGCCACCCCTAGAAGTCACTTGTAAGGTGGTGACACGGAGATTTGTCCATTCCTTTACAAAGTACTATAGGATTAACAAACTAGCCTTGGCAAAAGCAGTATTTGACAGTAGAGGGCTCCTTCAGGCCCTGTAGGCACCGGAAGTTGTGTGACCCACCCGGGGGGAGCGCTGCTTTTTTACGTCCCAGGAGTAAGGAGTCAAGGACTGCCCCACTCCTGGACCACCGGAGAACGGAAGATTTGTATTCACTTACCGTGAAGCTTCCTTCTCGGTGGTCCAGAGTGGGGCAGTCCTACCCACCCTCTCTTGTTGGACACGACTTCCGGTCCATTTATGTTTTGCAGTTGTTCAGCTGTTCGTGAATATGGTCTAAATGATTACGTGATGTGGCGGACTGTTGCTGTTTCTTTTCTCTAATGGTTAAAATACTGGTTTGTATTTGTTTAAGCCCGTGGCTGTGATGGTATTCCCTGGTTGTCTGAGGGGGAAGGAGTTATTTTTTAAGTGTATTTACAGCAGCTCGGAGGTGGCTTTCGGTATGACTGGGGATCAGAGGATAAGCCCCTCCCCTCTGGGATCAAAGTTTGCCGGCCCTGCCTATGGAAGGGGGAGGTGCTTTCCCAGGAGTAAGGAGTCAAGGACTGCCCCACTCTGGACCACCGAGAAGGAAGCTTCACGGTAAGTGAATACAAATCTTCCGTTTACTCCTGATCTTTTAAAATGTGGTTAGAAATTTGAAGCATTATCTGCATCATACCTTCATGTTGGACTGTATATGAAAAACTAACAGCTGTATTTCAAAGATTATGTTAGAGTTTAAATTCTTCTGCAAAAAAAAGTTCATTTTGCAAAAGCTAGCCAGGTTTCTATAAATGGGCCTGAACATCTCTGAAATCACAGATCTTTTTTTCTCGTAACATAAAATGATAGTCTTACAATTTGGCAATTCTGTAATATTGCTATTTTATTTTTCAGCTAATATCCAGGAAGGGTCTGAGTCGGTCATTGTTTTCAGCAACCAAAAAATGGTTTAGTGGCAGTAAAGTTCCAGAGAAAAGTATAAATGAACTGAAAAGTACTTCTGGTTTGTTGTAAGTAAATCTAAAAATATACAAAGAATGTGACTTGTATTAGATTTGACTTTTTAGATGTGTGCTTTCTTGATAGGGCATCAGTTACTTGTTTTTATACATGCTTGCTTTTTGAAGAAATACTGTTTACTCCCCAGTGTTCCCTCTAAGCTGAGTTAGTGTGAGCTAGCTCTCAGTCTTTTAGCCTCCGGCTCACACATTTTCGTCTTAGCTCAGGAAGGATGGCTCCAGAGCACACTAATTTATGCAGCAGCCAAATTGTTTGCTCACAACTTTAATGCCAGTAGCTCACAAAGTAGGATTTTTGCTCACAGGACTCCACAGCTTAGAAGGAGCATTGCTCCCTACTAGTTCTATTCACATTTTATTGTTATGCTGCCTTTTCTTTATGAAGCACAGTGGCATTCAGAATGCTGTGAGGTAAGTTACTCTAAGAGAGACTGAAGGGCCCAGTTACCAGTGAGTGTTATGGCTGAGGGAGGATTTGAACTCAAGTCTCCGCAGTTCTAATCTGACACATTACCACTTCTGTATCTTATAGTGATTACAGGGGGGGGGGGACCTGCGATACTC